CATTGTAGGATCAAAGGTATAAGTGTTTCAGGGGAGGGGGCAGTTTTTCGGCCACAATTGCACCCATTTCACACTTCATCTGTAGCCAATTCACATGTCAACCGCAACCAATTTACTTAAATTATGAGCAAATATGTAGGCAAAGCATATGACATCCAACCAAAACATGAGATGCATAAGTGGACCAAATTTGGATATAAGAAGGAAGCAGGTTCGAAGCCGGCCACTTTTCTTGTTTTCGTGTTTTGGGTGAATTATCGTGAAGCATGTTGTCCATTACATGACGGACGAAAGCTCAGCAGGGATTGATCGGCGTCGCAAGGCGGTGCGCCGAAAACCTATTCGAACAAATATACAACCACAGCCTCCGGTGGAACCAACTTACGAATGCCTTCCGCTCTCCTCTTTAAACAAAATGAAATGTACTCTAACAGGAATGTATTGAGGGATAATTCGAAACCCAGTTTTTCTAAATACCTTCACTTAACTTTGTTTTTAAAAGATATTCTTTTCCAGGCCGGACCTTAGTTTATACATGACCTGAACTGGCATCATGAGCACCCTCGGTGGGAATCGAACCCAGATAATGCAACATAAAAGTTTGCCATATTTGCTCTGCGCCATACTTCCACCGGTTTCTGTGGGTTGCGGGTTCGATTCCCAGTATTGACGTTAGGCAGCTTAGACTAATAAAGAAATGATAGACAATTTTTCGAATAAAGTCATTCAGCTTCACTTAGCCGTGGATGTCAGTGGATCACAGGGCAAAAACGGATCTCAAGCCAAGCCAGGCATCTTCCAAATCGCATTTTTCTGGTGGTACTTTAAACGGGGCAAACCTTTGTTGGTCCTTACAACCGAGTGTCTTATTTATCGAAGGTATGAAGACCAAGATGATGTGACTTTTTGTGTGGTCTCAGTCTCCTTTCGTTGAAAAGTAGTTGCTTGATCTTGTTTTCGCAGCTTGGCCATATTGGTAGGAAGACCTAGAGGAACGCACTTAGTCCGGAGTCCATTGTATGCATCATCATTTCCAAAGTCGGACCGTGGACGCGGTACATTCTCAGTCGTTTCGCCCGCATCGCGATCGGCATCGTCAGTGAGTTTTCCCATTCGTAGCACTATATTACAACTCGTCAAAGAGACAAGTTAAGGTGATCCTTTGATCAAACGTGTGCTAAACAGTTGTGGTATCTCTCCTTCTGCCCTGGGCTATTCACATTTTCTGTATCTTCCTATCACGCTTTTATTGTTGCAATTTTTTTCGTAATGAGTATGCTTCAAGACTATCATTAAATCATGAATATTAACGCTCTTTAATTCGATTGTTCAGCAATTAATCTGTCGTCACCTTTTGCGAGCTAGGATAAGCACGGCTTTTAGTTAAGATCTTCTAATTGCCATAAACATATCATAAATATGAGCTTTTTGCAATTAATTATAAATCAGCCTCCACATTCTACCTCAGGCCACAGTTCATGTTATGTTGCTCGCAAATGGACTGTGGCTTTTGCTACCACTGTCAAATGTAACACTCTTTCTTCCACCTTTATTAGCTTCTGCTGAAGCAAACTATCATTTATGTATTTATGCGTTCTCTCATCTTCCAGGCGTGGAATCCGCCGATTCTTCGTGTACTAGTTACCTCTTGTGGCAGCAATCCAGCCCGCCCGAACAGTCAGCTTCCTGCTGGAGCGGGACTATCAAGCAGTAGTGCTCTTGTCGTCGCTGCAGCACTAGCAACGATGAGGGCGTCCGGACTAAGCATCGACAGGGTAAGGAAAACATGCTAATGTCAGCATTCTGGCAAAAATAGCTT